GGCTGCGAGTTCGTCCTTGTCCTAGCTTGATGTTGGGTGTGAGGTTGATGTTGAACGAAGATTCATGGCCAAAGTTGAAGGTGTCCACATCTTGTTCTGTAAACGCTCGAACTGTGTTGTTAGTCATTCAAAAAAAATCGAACAACCAGATTTGTTCATGGTGAAAGTTCTATTGACAAAAACTCTCAATTCATTCCTTTACTGTCACACGATCCTGGGAATGCCAGTTTCAAACTTTCAACAACTGGCGTGGTCCTGTCTCGGCCAGTCCAGTGACGCCGTACTTGATCTTTCTTGTTTGCTTCATCACATCTTTAACGGAAACATCCAATTCGAGTGTTTGTGCGTTGTATCGAATCTCGTTTTCAACAGGCAAAATGAACCTTCAAGCCTTGCCACCTAGCGCTGCCTTAACCGTGTCTCTTTTGAGAGAAAGCTTCCTATCTTACCACTATGTTCAAAGATATGGTTAGTTGGAGATATAAAGGCAGTGTCCAAACAAAAAGCCGATTTTGAGACTTTGTACCTACCCGGGCCTATTCGCCATGCTGAATTCGATAAATCACAATGGAGAGCGCAAAAACGCCAAAAAACGCCCTAACGCAGGAGGGAAATCGCAGGTGGGCCGGGCCGTTCGCACCGTGCCATCATCTTCCAGATTTTAGGAGCGATCTTCTCGGTTCCGATTTTATGTCATGCGTTTCGCAGTTGGCTGGTGGTGATGTTAGGGCAACTAGCGGAAGCGAGAAGATCGCTTTTGAAGCTGCGAGATAACGCTACTATGTGAACAGCCCCGCCCATCTGCAATTTCCCTCCTCCGTTAAAGCCTTTTTTCGCCGTTTTCGCGCTCTCAAGTGTTGATTTTCGGATTCAGCATAGCGAATAGGACCAGGTAGGCACAAAATCTCAAAATCGACTTTTTGCTTGGACACTGCCTATAAGATACGGTTAGGAAAAGCTTGTTGGGTTCAAGACCGCCAGAAACGGTCAGAGTTTTTTCATTTGAAGCGATTCCAGACCTCTTTTCCCATACTCCGTAAGATTGGAGTGATTACAGGCTTTTGGTAGAGGGAAGAAGTCCGTCCCATGCTCTGCTTGCTTAACAGAGCACGTCGAGGTAGTTCTTGGTCCTCACCCTCCATCCGCCACTAGGGACCATCCACGTAGTTTAACGACTAACCGGCTGGAACCCTCTTATGAGGGAGATACGTGTGGATCCCTCGAGGATTTGCGGACACAATTCTCACAATTTCTTTCTCAGAGGCAAGTAATGGTTACGGTGCGAAGTTTCGACTGTAACTCAAGCTCGCCAAACGTCTCCCTCTTCAAACTAGCTACCCTAGTTTGCGAGGACAAAACGCAAACAACCACTTCGAAATGTCCGTCCCGCAAGTAGATGTTTTAAGGAGACGAATGAGTCATACTGTAGCTGCACGTCAAATATGATTTGCAGTTATAACTCTCAAAATGGTACGAAGAAGGGATGCCAACTCACTTATGTTGCTGATCCCTGAACTCTTCGACAGAACCAAAATGCTCTTTTATCATACCCACAAAGATTGCACATATGATTTCAATTATCTCCTCCACGTGATTCGCGTTTATGTTTGCCAGAAAATGTAGACATACTTCTAAGCCTATTTCTCTGTCTATGCTCTTCTAACAAAAGTAAATACGTGTCCTCGTCCCCCTCGTGCACTGACCAAACTTCCAAGTGATACAAATCTTTCGCATCCGCAAAAGCACCCAATCAATGCCCATTTTCAAACATAACGGAGCATGAAAACTAATATTCAGAATCTAAGCCGCAAATAAGTCTCGAGTCTTACAATGCCAAAAGCACTTCTTGAATTTTATCATTGCACTATCAAACGGATCATTACGTACTTAGTTGTGCTAACCGATTTTGTCAATGAGGAGCAGAGTTTTTCTCTAACCAAATGACGACGATTTGAACTACCTTAATCTATATCTCCTGCGAAGGCATATCTTTTTTTGTGTCCTGGGCTTTTATTTTACTCCAGGCAATCTACTGGGCTTTTGGAAATCATAGACGCCGTAGACTAGGAAGTGTCATCATTGGTTTACCAAACAACCCTTGTCTAGTAAATATCTTAAAGGACCGGGCATGCATCACGCAATTTCATCGTCGTGATTTCTTGTCGTCGCGACTTGCTGCGAGTAGCGACGATACCGCGACGACTAAATCGCTACTTGCTTGTTCATGGGCTTCTGCGGCATACTTCTGCGGCGATTCATGCATCCTCCCGCTTGAGCACATAATATACCTTCTCAAACTACTTATAAGTATTTGTATAACATTCGTCTTAATCTTTCCAATTGTATTTTCAGTAGTCCAAAATCAACTCCAAGCACAGGATCAGATTAAGATTTGACTCTATTCCAGTATCTGGGCCTCACTGTTTCATAGCCGCGGATTTTGCTCAAACTGGTTTAAAGGGGTTATTCGACCCACTGATGCCAAATATAATCATTGTGTTTGGTAAAACGACATCTTCTGGAGTCACGGTAGGAACACGTAAAGGGAAATCATAGATTTGGCTCGAATTCCGTCTGGAGAAGTTATTCAACATGCTGATCACAAAAGTCATACTCATATAGCGTTTTGGGACATACACGCGGAGTTGCGGTGAGTATACGGTAGGTGTCAAAGTCATAGACTTGCCTGAATTTTTGGAGTGGAGTTATGTGATGTTCTAATCACAAATATTGTGTTCATTTCGTTTGAAAAAGTCTTTACCGACTTTTTTCTATATGAGTTGAGCCAAGGAAAAATGTTAATTGCTGTTGCGGTTGACACAGACTGCAAGAAATTGGCGCTTTCCTGAGTAACCATCATGAAACGATCAATTTCAGCGCGCCGAGGAACCCCCTCCCCCACAACAAATTTAGTGCAAATCCGCGACTTTGACCCTCTACCGTATACTCACGATAGCCCGAGAAAATGGCGCTACCTCAAAAAATAACCATGCTATTCGGCGCCAGCGAGTCGAATAACCCCTCTAGGCCGAGCCTGAGGGACGTTCACTTTGAATGTTGGGTCACGGATAGCCCAAAAATAGGTACAAGAGGATCGATTTACGGAAAAGCAACGCACTCTGGCAAAATAGAACTATCTTCGAAATAGTAAACAAGAAAACAGCCCAAAAAGCTAAGAAGCGATCATAAAAACCTTCAGAAAAGAAGTTCAATCTCAGCGATTAGGTCGCATCGCTCGTTTAACGTCAGCGACGCGATATCGCTAAGATTCGGGCAAATCACGACGATTTTAATGAAGGAAGATGCCCAAGGAAAAAACGGTCAACGATTAGTTTCGTTTAACTATCACAACCGAATGGTCAAAATATCATCATGCAATGGACTCGTAACAGTTGTTTTGCCGGGAGAATCGCGAGGCGATGAAATCGCGTGATGTATGCCCTGCCCTTAAGAATCCAAATTTTTCGGATTTTGCCAGAAACCCGAAAATGTGACACTAAGATTAGTCCACTATAGTGTTTGACATGCTAACTACAAATAATGTATTCAGTTTTGATGACAGCGCATCCCTGAGGTTAAAGGCAGCGTCCAGGCAAAATTTCGCTTCTCATGTTTCTGCCATTCTGGGGCCTTTCCATGGCCCTGATTACAGTTGTGAAGTCCATTTTGTTCAAAACCCCCATAAAACCCGATTCTCGGGGACCCTCTCTTCAAGGAGCGGACGAGTTTCGGATTGCTCGTCCCCGTCGCACTCCAGCTTGAGGAGCTGCACTGCACGGGTGCAGTTGCATTGCAGTGTGCAGTGCAACTGCAATGCAACTGCACACCTGCGTAAGCACCCGTCCTCACGGTTGGTTTGTGATACGAAGGGGCGGCTTGTGATACGTATCAAAGGCCCGTATCTCCTCTTAGAGGGCAAGTCAAAGGATCGGACCAACGCAGATCGGATACTCATGGGCCCCTCTTTACAACTATGTGCTAATCTGGGTGGATGGATCTTGCCTGGACGCTGCCTTTAAGACAGGCATGACATGACTTTTATTTTTAGTATGTAAATAACCCTTTTCGGTATAGCCAAAGCGGCTCGGCACAGATAGCTTGCAGGGCAGGCTGGAAATCTTTTTGGTAAAAAGCAAAGAGAATATCGTTCTTGCGGGGTCCCGAGCGGAGCCGAAGAAACCAATTATCAGCTCACTCGGGTTTACGTGACAAAATCGCCATTCGTTTCGTTCAAATTCATAGTCGGGAATGGTAAAAGAATCTCAAAAATATCTTTCTGACAACGCAAAGCAATAAGACTGAGTTTTACACAGAATTAATAGAAAACTTCGAGAAGTTGGCCAACTTTATGCCCATCATTCGAAAATTTTGCAGCACTCCCCCTTACGAACAAAACTTACCACCTCTACTTCATTTGAATCCATCGTACTTTTAGCTTTTATCCCGCCCCACAACCAAACTCTTCCTCTTTTATTCCGCCTCTTCATCTTAGACGTCGCAAGTGCTCATCCTTGCAATCAATCCCATTCTCTGCGAAAGCTACAATTTTTCGTTCCAATAGTTTCTCCATGTGGAGGCGCGAATTAAAAAAATGTGCTCCAAATGAACAAAGCGCTTGTTAAGCGGAAAAATTGATATGAAACCACTAGGGTAGGAACCATAGGTGCGATAGGGGGAGCACGGTCTCTCCCAGGTGAAGGGGGTACCTCGTATTTTTGACTGTCAAAAGTGAAGGGGGTATGTGAGAGCAGAAGAGTTGCTGACTTTGCCAAAATGCCGGTGCGTGGCAATGGGGTGAGGCGGGCGGGAGATTGAAATTCACTGCTGCGCTGCTAGGAGTTTATTTTTACCACTTGTTTATTTTCCATTCTGAACAAAATATGAATCCAAGTGCATGTTGAAGAGACGAGCAGAATAAAGAAGTCTACATTACAAATTAAAAAGTAACGGAGCCAAACTAAAAAGAATGTGCAATCGCTCTACAAGTTTTCAATATCGTCATCGTCGTTAATAATACTGTCACTACCATCGCTGTCAGAAAGATGTTCGTTCTCTGAAAAATCTTCTTCCGCGAGAACATTATCAGAATAAAAATAAAATTGCGTTAGGAATTTATCTGGATCAAAAATTGATTTAAAATTTTCTTCTTCTTCAATTCTCTTTAACGATTTTTTCCCTGGTCCTCTGGTGGCACCAGGAAAATCGGCTGGTTGATGACCAGTGTCTTCATGCCATTTTTTGGGGTACTGCAAAAAATCGTATGGCGACAATTTATCCGGGCCGCTGATAGCAATTCTGCAATGAAAAATCTTAACCAGATGTACCTTTACCTCAAGTTTACTAACCTCAGATAGTTGCTGAGGTGGTCCACCGTCGTGCGGCTTCTGCGCTGTGATCGGATTACTGAATAAATGGAGAAACCTCTTTCCACTTCCGCTGTGCTGGTTGGAATCGAAACCAATTTTGCTAACAGCTCCATCAAATTTCTGCGATAAGTGATAGAAAATGAGCCATATCTCATGTGCTTCCGCAGCACAGGAAGAAAATATTGCATTTTTGCTTCACTCTTTTTGAACTCAGCTCTCACTGCTTCTGGCATGCGTCTCCTGAGCTGCATAGATAGCTGCTGAAGTTCTTCTTCTATAGAATTGGGGGAATAACCAAAAAATGTAGACAATGTGCTGCGGGTACCCTTTTCTGCCGCATTATAGTTTATAATGCTAGAGGGCGAAAAACCTCCAGCAGCGTAAAGTACAGAATGGGGCTCGTACTCTAGCCGAGATCTGAGAGCAGTGGCTATGCTTTTTACAAGCACTTTTCTCTTGTTCAGGTCCATGTTCGTGAATTTTGCAATTCCAAAATCTTCTGCTACCTGAAGCTCCGCAATAGATTTTCTAGATGTCTCCTCATTAAAGTTCTGCAGACTGCTTGGGTCTTTGATGTATCGGATAAGATTGTTTCGCTCCAATGTTAACTGTTTGTTGATGTCGTTGGCACTTTTGTCTCCAGCACTTGATCCTCCCGCACTCTCGATGTTGAACTCGAACACGTGCAAGTCATCTGCGATTTTGTAAAGTATTTGACAAGCTGCTGATTCTTCGTTTTGCCAGCCATTCCAGAACCTGAGAGTATTCAATATAACAACTGCTCTTGTTGGCAGAGTACTTTAATGGTGATGAAACGAACCATTTTCTACAATCAGGCGAATCCAGAGCGTTTTGACGGAAGTTACCTGCTTCATTGACAGGTTTACAGAGGATGGATTCTAGAAATGGACGCGTTTTTGTGTTGAGGTGTGGAGATTCGGCGGCTTTATCAAGTCGTGCGAGAAGGGTGTTTAGGTCAGTTTGCGCTTTCCAAAGAGTGGATGCTTCGTCCTGAGAGACAAATCACAGAAGCATTATATCTAACAAGTGCGATACCTGAGCTTCTCGTGAGAGTGTGCCAATCTCTCCAAGGACTTGCAGCTGGAACACCATGTATCGGTAGAACTTTAGCGATTTGATCACGTGCAGAAATGCTCCGGCTTTTAATCGCTCCTTACTCGGAATTTGCGCAGTCTTGGATATCGTCTCCAATGCAAGCCATACATGCTTGTACATTTTCAAAAAGCTGTGAATAGCATCTGAAATAACAGCGCTTTTGTGCAAAAACAAGCAGGACTCAAAACTTACTTTCTTCAGATGAAGTCCATCTCACAGCGATAATTCTTTTCAAATTCACGAAGCGCTCATTAGATAGGGTTTTATCCACTTCTAGCAGCACGCGTTTCCTTGATGGAGCTGCAAAGAAGGAGCGCAATCTGTTGAGGTATGCCGTTGCAAATTTTCTCCATCGCAGAAATTCCTCGTCTGCTTCAGCTAGAGCATCTGCCAGAGCTAACTCTATTTTGTGTGCCATGCAATGAATCCATATGATTGGATTAGGCAAAACAGAATCTATCTTCTCCTGCGTAGCACCTCTACTTGCCAATATATCTTTACGAGATTGCGAAATGTTTTTGTTGAGTATGCCGCGAAGCCCGCCCTCGGCACTCATGGCACTAGCTCCGTCTGTAGCCACAGCTACCAGATTCCAAATAAATTCATTGAGAAGCCCTGCCTTACTGAAGTATGCATAGATTGTTTCAAAAATGTACTTTCCAGTTTCAGCTTTGACCATCTCCACAGCTTCGAGGAAGTGCGTTGTAGGATGTAACGTTGTTCGATCTGGGAAACGAACAAAAAGTAGAAGTATCTGCTTGCTATCAGGATCCGTTGAGGTATCGACTAGCAGTGAAAATGGGGATTGATTTTTTATGAGGTAGTCGATCAAGGTGTCTTTCATCTTTTTGCTAATGTAACTAGTCATCTGCACGAATCCATCGCGCGTGTGGTGCTTATTTCCTATCTGCAATCCCAATTTCGATACTGTTTCACACAATGTGGGAAATTGATATGGAGGAAGGTAAATTTTTGCTGCCGCATAAGCAAGCATAAAAAGACTGCTTGCTCCTGTTCCAGAACCTGTGTGAGCGCTATCCACATCATCAAGGTAGCTGTTCACCTTATCGTTGGTTTTCCGTACATAGTACTCTACTGCTGCTTGGTGTATGGCGTGATCGGATCGGATATGGTTTTGCAATGTCTTTTCAACGCTGGATGTGAATTCCGTTCCCTCCTTTGATGAAATTGGATATGGGGAGCCTTTGACTTGTCCTGATCGATAGTACTCGTAGCAGGGTTCACAGCGCACCTTCAGTACGCGCTTTCCTCCAACCCACTCATTAGGAAAAAGTGGCTTAAAATATTGATATTTTTCATCCTTCAAATTTTGTAAGATTTTCTTTTCTTTGTCGGTGACGAAGTGCCCCGAGTTCACGAGCATATGGTGATCGCGACAAAAAAAATTGCATCTTTTGCCTGACTCGTAAGCTAACATCGCCTCTCGGGCGCGTTCTCTAGCTTCTTTGTGTAGAACGTTTTCGTTGCTGAGGGCTTGTCGATAGAGGTATCCTACCCACGTCATTAAGTTGGTTTTCTCCTCGTAAGAAAATGCGGAACACTGATAGTGAGGCACCACTGCGACATCTCCAGCTCCAGCATGAGCTTGAGTAGGTTCTGTCTGAAGAGGTGGTGTTTGAGGCACCGGCACTTCTGGTCCACTAACGGGAACATCAGCAACAACATCTTCATCTCCTTCTTCATTCACCACAGGTGCTACAGTTCGCCTTTCGGCGTCGTCTGGATATTGAAATTGCTCAGAAACAGAAGAGTATCCTACTTTTTCGTCAAACACTCTCAGAAATGCCGGATATGTACAGTCGTTTTCTTCCCGAGGGGTATGGCTGGAGAACTTCCAATACACGGACGTGTGTGTTCTAGTATAGGACTCATCTTCCTCTTCAGGGACACAAAGAGAAATCGATGTTCCCTTGGGCAGATCACGAGTGTTTCCGTCTGCATCTAGTGAAATCATGCTAGGTTTAATGCCGTGCGCCGCAAATACTTCAAACATTTGCTCAGTGAACGTATTGCGTTTGGTAGTGCGAGTATTTCTATTTATCACTACAGCATCTATTGCATTGTCAAACATCACGTTCCATCGTTCCTTTTGCACGAGGACTTTTTGCGCCTCTTCCACCGCTACACGTCGTCCAGAATGAGGTTTGGCGTAAGAAACATCCCTCACAAGTTCTCTCAGTCGCGCTTTGTCTACCCTGGATGTCGGCCTTTCCATAAGTATGAAAATAACTGGGTAGTTTAAGGAGTCATCTGCTTGCATATGAACTGGTGGACCCTGAACCAGAACATTCTTGCTGATGCTGTTTATTGAAGCGTCTCCGAGATCATGTGTGAAAACAATGTCGAAGACCTTGTTAGAACGTTCACTGCGAGTGCTTTGTTTTCCCATGACAAAAAACCGCCGATTATGCACCATCTTATGATTATGTAAGCTGCTATAGAACAAAGGCGCTGTAGCCGTACTGAATCTTGGTCTCGTATCAAAAACCATTATCGTATACGGCATTAGGACGAGCTTTTTGACATTTTGACACTCCTTTGCTGGGAATCCAATTTCTAAAAATTCGTCAAATCTTTTTTCATTTTCTTGGGCGTCCGTGCCTAGATAAAACGTGGATATCTCAGAAAAACGGGGCTTACAAAGACGCCTTCCGACTGAAAACTTCAGACTCGTTTGTTCCTCTCCATGTCCTCGGTCGTTACCCGCACAACAAACAAAAATCGCGATGAAAACAGATGCGATATTATGCATGACACATCTATGGCGCAAAGACCTAAAAAATTCGTACTATAGCAAATCATTACGAGTTTTTTAATGAAAAAAGAATCAGACGTGTATCATGAGATTGCGCTCTTTCGTCAGAGAAAATGATGGCAAGCGCATGCAATGGAAGTGATCGAGACAGTGCTTACATAAACTGCCTCTGTTAGTTCCACCTCTTTGTTAAAAAAACAGAACGGAGGAGAAGATTAAACAAAACAAATGCGACCACGTCATTGACTCCCAGCGACTTGTGATGAATTGACAGAACACCAACTGATGTCTTTCCTGCAACCTGCAAGAATGGCCTCCGAGACAGCGAATCAATGGAAAAGACTATACATGACGATTTTAGTTTACTACATACTCAATAAAGAAAGTCGCATGTTTTCAGCCAAAATCCCATGTAACTCTAAGTAGAGGGGAGCTAGAGAAAAAGAGACGGTCTACGTCGAATCCTTTTTTTGTGAGCTTTCTAATGGTATATAGGTTGTCGGGTGGAAAAACTTGTGGTTTCTCAAAAATGAGGTGGAGATATTCAATAGTAACTTGCTCCACCCCGCTCCGGCTTTCTATGGGTTGCCGGAGCAAGACTTTTTTGGGCGAAGAAAGCTTCGTGCACAAACACCTTATATACCATTCGATAGCTAAGCACACGAGGAATCGACGTAGACCGTCTCTTTTTTCATAGCTTCTTTGTGAAGCGAGATACGACCAGTTTTATACGTCTACTCACCACCTATTTTTGTGTAATTATTTTGTAATTTATTTTTGAAAGAAAGAACAAAGATAAAAAAAAGAGACGGTCTACGTTTACTGGCAAGGCCTTGCTCTGTGACGCTGTTAGAAAATCAGGCACCTTTATCCATTCTTCACGCAGAAATTTCTCGACAAAAACACACATGTTTTTGGCTAAAATCCCATGTAACTCTAAGTAGAGGGGAGCTAGAGAAAAAGAGACGGTCTACGTCGAATCCTTTTTTTGTGAGCTTTCTAATGGTATATAGGTTGTCGGGTGAAAAAACTTGTGGTTTCTCAAAAATGAGGTGGAGATATTCAATAGTAACTTGCTCCACCCCGCTCCGGCTTTCTATGGGTTGCCGGAGCAAGACTTTTTTGGGCGAAGAAAGCTTCGTGCACAAACACCTTATATACCATTCGATAGCTAAGCACACGAGGAATCGACGTAGACCGTCTCTTTTTTCATAGCTTCTTTGTGAAGCGAGATACGACCAGTTTTATACGTCTACTCACCACCTATTTTTGTGTAATTATTTTGTAATTTATTTTTGAAAGAAAGAACAAAGATAAAAAAAAAGAGACGGTCTACGTTTACTGGCAAGGCCTTGCTCTGTGACGCTGTTAGAAAATCAGGCACCTTTATCCATTCTTCACGCAGAAATTTCTCGACAAAAACACACATGTTTTTGGCTAAAATCCCATGTAACTCTAAGTAGAGGGGAGCTAGAGAAAAAGAGACGGTCTACGTCGAATCCTTTTTTTGTGAGCTTTCTAATGGTATATAGGTTGTCGGGTGGAAAAACTTGTGGTTTCTCAAAAATGAGGTGGAGATATTCAATAGTAACTTGCTCCACCCCGCTCCGGCTTTCTATGGGTTGCCGGAGCAAGACTTTTTTGGGCGAAGAAAGCTTCGTGCACAAACACCTTATATACCATTCGATAGCTAAGCACACGAGGAATCGACGTAGACCGTCTCTTTTTTCATAGCTTCTTTGTGAAGCGAGATACGACCAGTTTTATACGTCTACTCACCACCTATTTTTGTGTAATTATTTTGTAATTTATTTTTGAAAGAAAGAACAAAGATAAAAAAAAGAGACGGTCTACGTTTACTGGCAAGGCCTTGCTCTGTGACGCTGTTAGAAAATCAGGCACCTTTATCCATTCTTCACGCAGAAATTTCTCGACAAAAACACACATGTTTTTGGCTAAAATCCCATGTAACTCTAAGTAGAGGGGAGCTAGAGAAAAAGAGACGGTCTACGTCGAATCCTTTTTTTGTGAGCTTTCTAATGGTATATAGGTTGTCGGGTGAAAAAACTTGTGGTTTCTCAAAAAT